TTTGCAAAACAAAGAATTTTGTCCTAATGTATGATGCAATTTCTATACTTTCAACTTTCAACAGTCTATCATGCTAATAAAATCAGAGAAAGTATACTAAAATGTTCAATTCGTGTTCTGAGGTCCTTCAAAGATTCCCCAGGAGAAGAATCAGTGGAAGCCATTGAAGCACAGACTACTGGACATTTTTTTATCTATTCTTCTAGTATAAAACCCAAAACTAAAATCAAAAGTTGCAAATAATTTCCCGCATAGTTCGTTCAAGCATATAGAGAAGTGTCTCATTTGAAGGGTAAATGCTACGTGATCTAAGCATTCTTGATCAATGCAAGTGGCCAATCTGATATGGTAGGATTGCCCACTTTTTCCCTCACTTTTTGTTCCTTTTTTAAGCCTTTTATTATCTGTATCAGATAAGGTATAAATATCAAAGGCATCCAACACAAAAACACGGACCATAAAAACAGGCTTTAAGCATATTATACATTAAAGAACTTGAGTGTCTCTGGAAAAACTACTTTCAAAACTTGTATATTAGTTAGGCATCTGTACCCCAAAGCTACTGTAAGTATATAAGTGATAGTCTGAAATAGAAAACAAAAACAAACAAAAAAAACATGGAACACCAACAAGAACATGAAACAAAACTGTTCGTACTTCAGGATACTGTCAAAACTACAGGACAACACAGCTAATGTAGTATGAGCATACGTGTTTGAGCGTGTATGAACATGCATATTATGGGCTCAGAAATGTGCTCAGTGATGGGTGTAGAAGGCAATGACTAAGGATCAATAACAAGCAGAGAAGACCTTAACAATAATGGAAACCATCAGCCCCACAGACCACAGAACCCAGAGACAAAATATATTCACCTGAGAGGATGGTGCATCCCAAAACAAAATTTCAACGGGAGTGAAACATTGTCACAAATCAAGAGTTCTCAGAGCTTATTGTTGATGATCCAGAGGTGAGAGTTCTGGAAACTGATATTTTGGAGAAAGACTTATCTAAAGTATAATTTAGTGGCTCAGTTTATCAATTTTTCCTGCACATGTAGAAAGGTGCATGGACCAACTGACGTTTAGCCTATGGTGGATTTACGTATTGATTGATTAGATCCCTCTCCTTCATCCTTATACAATGGAATTGACTGTTTTGGGACTTTCTACAAAAAAACAAGATTGGACGGAAAACAAGACATACAGACTTATATTCACTTGTTTGATCCGATGGATCTTCACATGAAGCAACTTTTTACATAGTTGGCAAGAAACCAATGTGGCTTTCAACCAAATGTGTTGTGGTTAAAACCAAATAAGATAGACAGCTAGACATGTGATGAGTCCCATTTTAACTCAAGCTTAAGACTGGATGACAGCATTGAGAACTTTCTTCTCTTATATTATATCAACAGTAAACACTGTAAAATAAAAGTTTACATTTGTCACACATGCAGTTGTTCAAATAACATTTAAATTCTCAGGTCATGCCATCTTGCTATATCTTCATTGTGACTCTAGGGATATATCTTGTCCTGGAGGTGACAGGAATTCAGGAGATTCAGCTTCTTGGATGAATGTCAGAAATCCCCCTTCTCATCCAGTAAGTAACTGAGTGAGAGGTTTCGCTCCGCTCTGTTTCCCCACAGGAAAGGGTACAAATTGGAATGCTAGGCTGTGTCATCGTGAGATCTTGGAATTTCATATTGACCGCTTTTGCGGTGTGCTAAAATGTTCTCAATTTGCAAAGTTCTGTTGGAATAAAAATATAATCTCTAACCAAAACTTGACCTGCCTGGAGGTATCAGTCCTGCCTGATACCTCCAAAGTCTTTGGAGAGAGGGGACTGTATGTTTCTGGAGAACCAGCACTGGGACACATGAAGAGGTGGGTCTAATCTGTGGTACTGAGAGAACAAAGGGTTGTTTGGCACGAAAAAGAAGAAAAATAAAAGCTGCATGTGGTGTCAGGAGAGTAATTGTGGAGATTATTCCTAAAAAGTAAAAACAATGCGCACAGTGTAAACAGAGTTTTAATATACTCTTAAGAAAATAGTATAAGGTAGGGAATCTTGAACCTCCTTCGGAACTCATTTATGATGAGATAATAATTTTATGAGGCGGAAAATCTAAAATGTTCATGATACTGGATAAAACTTGGGTTAGCAGCCCAAAAAGATCTTTCACCACGGGGAAACCATGGTGTCAAACACAGAGTTTAACTGCGTAATGTCACTGTTAGGGATGCCTTTAGGACAGCGCCAGTGCCAAAAACAACAACCTCTCACTGCTCCATTAAAGACCACACTCCGGTTGAGCCTTAGAGCCAAAGGGCCTGGGAAAGCATTCTGCATGAGGCCATCGTTGAGAAGATGTCTGCCTCGATGTTACTGAATTGCTTGAAAGATCAAAACGTGGGTTGGACGGAACAATTACGATCGGTCGACTTGTGATGCTATGCTTGAAACATAGAAGGAAGGAGTTCCACCTGGCGGAATCAACGATGCAGTCAGGGGGGGAATAGAGAACAGTGGAAGAGAAAAACAAAGAGACAGAGGGAGGGAGAGAGGACATGTGTGTGGGGGATGGTGTTCCCATAACAACAACGACTGTTTGTATGCAGACTGAACATCATATAAGCCATAGTTTGCTCTACCTCAAATGGGGAAAAAAGGAAGGATGGGGGTGGGGTCAGACTGGGTATGGACCATTGGACAACTCGCTTTAATAAGTGCAGGCACAAAACATAGATATTTACACACACACACACACTGCAATGAAGACAACGCATGCAAAAAAGCCCCACATTTTTCTGCTCTGCAAAGAGATGATTGATGACAAATGACTTTGATGACAAATTTGGGGGAAACAAATATAATTTATGGTATATTTGTAGTGGATTCTTTTTTCTACTCTTCTAAGCTGAGTGGGAATCATGATCACTCCATGTTTGCATCGAGCCAAGTATTTAAGGAGAGAATCAGCACACCACTTGCCGTGAAGTGCCACATGGTTTCTCCAAAGAAACTGATTGGACAATTGTTTCTGGAAATCCCAACTTAATGTTTTTAATGACTGTCAGCATTAAAAGACAGGAAAAAAATTGTTAATGAGTACAATACATTGTGCGTGGAACTGGGTAACAGAACAAAATCCCAGTAGTAAATCGATCTTTTGGCTAAGACTAAACAGGATGTTAGCTGCGAACCAGTAATTAATACAACAAAATCTGACCTTTGCCTGTTGGAATAGCAAGGACTCAGTTAAGAGTCTAAATGCATTTAATTAAGTGTTTATCAATATTAATTTAACTCTTAATCTTACTGGGTAAGCCAGGTCACAGTTTGTTTATATTGTAACTGACCTCACACAGAAAATGAGTTGGCTCTTTTAACCCTCTTCATTTTCAATTTTCAAATTTATTTTTTGCTGATTACATGATCAAAAGGCACACAAAGATTTTAATCACACCTATTATTGAACAAAAAGATGAGAGAGTAATCATTAAAGCAGGTTTATGAAAGTACATGTAAATAAAAGATAGTGTACTTTTTCAGAAGGTGCTGCATTTGGGTCTCAGTCTTATAGTAAGAATGCTGAACTAGTATTCTCACTATAGTGTTGCTGTTTCGTTTTTATTATTCATGTATTCCATACGTTTCTGCACTTAACTAGTGCCTCATACTTCAACTGATTTAAACGAATGTGGCAGAAATCTTTTCAGTATGCTAATATTGTCCCTTTGAAAACTCTCCTGTGCGCACACCCCTGTTTCCTGTTAGAAGGATCAGGGACGCAGGTAAGCCACACTAATGGTGTTTTGTACAAGCCTGAGTGCAGTAAGTTTAATTGCATGCATCCGCCATGTCAAACCTGCACAATATTACGTCTCAAATTCCATTTTTTTCCTCAGTTGTTGACTTGACTAATGTTTTTTCTTTCTTCTTTTTCTATTCATACGGATTGGCAACTTTTGTTTGATTTTGAGTTTAGTGTTGATTTTGGGGTTTTGGTGTTGATTTTGCACTTTCACACACCTTTGTCAAGGGTATTGGGAAAGTCCGAGCATGTATATTGCAGGCCTGGAAGTCAGTCCTGACCCACTCCTGCTCCCTCCCGGGTCTGTTCTTTTGTAATATGTCAATGGCCTTCCTCTGTGCAGCGCAATAGGAAAAGAGACAGTGACCTAACCCTAACCCTAACACTTTCATGCATGGTGACACAAGGCAAGCCTACCCAAGCGACAGTTTGTCTGAGCTCAAGTTTTGCAAACTGAAGATAAGTTAGGACAACGAAAAAAACCTTCATCACTGTGAAGTGAATTTAGAGATGCCAAGCATCTCCAAAGTCTGATAATAGTAATGTAACCCTCAAAATGAATAATTGCGTTACCATGAGGATGACTGACCACAGGGTGACTCATTTTATGCGACAGTACTTCTTAAAACATTTGTACATTTTATTGAAAGCATTAAAATGATTGGATGACCATTGATTTGTGTTACTGAAAACACAAAAATCAAATGTCTACCATCTTATCAGTTAAGCACAATGTTTATTTTTGAAAAGAACTATTTTAATATGTACATTCTCCCTCTTTTTAATATTAGAAACACTTAACCATGAGGACAGTTTCTACTGTGTTGAGTAGTTTAACAGGTAAAACAAATGCTTCATAAAACAAAGGTATGCAGAAGAACTCACTTCCATTGTGGCATTCTTAAGATTCCAAAAGACACAAAAAATAGGCATGGGAACTTAAGAAATGTTCAGCCAAAGCATTACTGCACGCAGGTAATAGCAACTGAATGTTAAAGTTCTATTGATTAATAAAACTGTCCAGCTTATTCAAAGATACCTCAATTGATAAGTCATAACGTAGTCATGTAATATTCTTTTTCTTCTGAATATCTTGTTCAGTGTAAATGTATTACCACAGGTTATGAAAATGGAAAAAAGAGAGGATTGTACCTTTATGTGCTTCCATTGATAAGACTTATTAGAGGGATATATCCAGGTTCCACACACTGCAGCACCCACATGACACATGGAACAAGAATCCATAGTGATTAATGACAACAATCTTAGACATAGACAGAGAAACTGTGTGAATCATTATGACAGTGGAAGATTTGATTAGGAAACTTGGCATATTATGATGCACTTTTTCTTAGATGATGCAATAGGCAGTCAAGAGGAATAATAGACTTGTTATGCAGTGAGGAAAATATACATTTTTCACAAGTGTTAAGCAATGCTATTCATCTTGCGATCACGGTGTTGCTAATCAAAGAAATGAAAAATCGAAATTTCTTAACATTACCAAACAGCCCGGTGCTCACCAGTAGAGATAGTAGAAGAATGAGAGGACGAAGAACGACAGCTTGCACCAGGCCTCCTTCAGGCAGAACTTTAGTGTGTCACTATTCATCACTGATGCGGGGTCATAGAGCAGCTCCTTAGTGTCCGTTGGCGAATGGAAGTACCTGCCACAAATGGCAAAGACCACACGCCGGGTAGTTCACCCATTCCAGACCAAAGTGGAAGTGGAGGAGATGATGGGAAGAAAATGTGGAAAAAGATAGTATGGAAGAAATGGCATGATGAATTTGGTGAGACATCATCATGGAGATGACAATCATGAAAAAATCATGTTGAGAAAACTGACCTTTTTGTTAAAACTCGTCATTACAGTAAACCAGTGACGGCTCACAATCGGAGCCAAAGGTTGAGAGGACTGGCAAGTTTTATGCTGAAAACATGTAGTATAGGTGTAGTTTGGTTATGAGGCTAAAGTGTATCAATTGGGTCAAGCCTTCTTTATCTACTCTTCATCAAATCAAGGTATCAATATGTCGATGAACATTTTGGCAATCTCTAACATGAATTTAAAATTACAGGATTTTTTTCAGCTTACTATGTTATACATTCTAGTACTAACTTATTTTTAGTAATATCTCACTGGGTAAAAGTTGGAAAAATTATATTTTAATGTGGAAATATTTGTTTTGTGCATATTGTAGGGGGACACGGCCAACTAATGTCATACACCTGTAGAGGACATCGGACATAATTATTATTGGACAGCCTCTTTTCCAGATGCCCAATGATTGATTCAGAAAAAACCACGAGACTGATTGCCCAATCTCTCTCTTACCAGACCTGGAGGGAAACGGGTATCTTGTACATAGTGTTATCTTCACTGACAGCAGTTTGATGAACTGATATTCCATGTGCCAACATTAATAACCTCTATTCTACTAACTTTTCAAATTTAAGGATCTGGGTGTTATTATTATGTTTCCCTGACAAAACTAGGTTGGTGGTAAAGTTCAGTGCTCAGATTCTTAGGCTTTGCACAGGTGATATCTGTCCCGGATTGATACATATGAAATTACAAATTTTCAAGCCAACATTGGGTTTTAATTATTAGTTGGTAACTTTTTTTGTTGTGTCCTGTAGGTAAAAACTTGTCAACAATTTGAATAAACATTTACTACTGTCCCTGGACAACTATTATTTCTAGTTTATATTTGGCAGTTAATCCAGCTCTTCATTGATTGCCAGCATCATATCTTCAAAACAAAACCCACACTCACAGCTTTAAATTATGATATAACCTGATTTATAATTTCTTGTTTTATAAATTACTAATGTTACTACAGATTTGTGTTATAAAAATATATATTTTCTGATTCAATAGGGAAAACTGGATGTATCTTTCAGTACAAGGTTTTCAAAACAGGACAAACCAAATGATTGATGATTATACATTTAAATCGATATATTTCCCATCCAGGTTATTCATGTTTATAGGTATATGTAAACAGATTATGTATATAGAACAACAGCCATCATAATTATTGCTGTGGTTCTATATTTTCTGAGGGCTTGTTAGATTTGAGTAACTAAGTAAATTTAAGAGATATGGCCAATAAGTCGTGCCTCTGGTAATTTCCAGCGTCCACTTCTGGTTTTGTAGGATATAAAGCTGATGCCACAGACACAAGTCACTTGAAATAACCCACACTTTTTGATGACTGATGAATGGATGATAATGGCATGTTAATAAATGCGTTTTGGGTGTTCAGAACAGAATGTTTTGAACATCTGTAATGAGCAACTTAATGCAAATACCATGTATTTCTGTATGGGATACATGTTCAAATGACTTATGTTAAGATCGAGTTAACAGGATGATTATTGAAAAAAATCTCCCACAGCTTACTTAAGCTATACTGTACATAAAAAGGCACCAACACAGGTAAGCAATATATACATTTTAAACGTGAAAAAATATCTTAAGATATACATAAAAACAAACAAGGGGAAATTAAGCTCTAAATCAAAGATTTTTTACAAAGCACTAGTCACTGAAGTGTACCACTATAGTAAATAAGGTTAAGGCATGTTCAATACAAAACAGTGTAAGCAACTCTTTGACGATTTCCAGACATACTAAATCTGCAAATATGATGTCCATCAAAAATGTTGCTTCATAAAAATCAAAACAAAATCACAACTGCTAATAAAGTGTCCATATGAAAACAGTTTTTTTTTTAATTAGTTGAATTCACCTCTATCAGAAGTTTTAAGACTTAACTTAACCTGACCAGAGCAAGATGTAAAGAACTGACAACATGAAATGAGCAAAAGCTTAATTTTGCTTTAGCTTTATTTTAAAATCAAACAAGATACTCTGTTGAAAAGCTCATCCAAATCAGCAAATTGCATAAGATGAGTAGCCATAGTGAGAATATGTTTAATCCGTTCAATCCTTAGTCATTAACGTATTTTGCTAAAGAGGTGAATGTAAAAACATTTTTCTCACCTCAAATATTATTTTTCCAAAATATACACTTACCCTTAATGACTCAGAAAGTGTTCCAAAGCTTTTTCCCGTAAAATACTTGCTTGCCTTTTTTACTGATGATTGACAAGCTCCTGTCTTATACTAAGACATGTACTTTAATACATGAAATGTAAGGTTGTTCCCCAGATATGTGAACATGGTAAGCTACATGTCAACCCATCAACTTTTTTGTTTGTCAGATAACTGCTTAATATCCTGAAGCCTCAATGTAAACCAAACAGTCGTCAATAGAACAGTTTTGGGAGACAGATGTCCTTTTTTTAATTCGAAAGTTAATGTATAAAATTGCTAATTTACAATGAACTGATTAGGGTTAGAATCAAATAAAAACGTACTTTTACAAGCATTATTATATGCTCAGGCTAACAAAATACGGGAAAAAAAAGGAATCATTCATGGTAACGCACTTCCTTATATACTTTAAAAAAAATATATGGACTCAATATTTACCTCCATGTGTTGTAGAAGAGCAGAGGGATGTTGAGGCCCACAGTCAGCCATTCCTGAGCACACAAAAACATGATGCAGAAGAGCCCGTGGATGGAGTACTCTGGCAGCACCAACTGCAGGAGGACGAAAATGGCAGAATTCTGGGCCATTGATGAAAACAATTAATCCATGCAGTTTTCTGTCTCTTACAGCTCCCCTACTGTATAACCAACTAATAGGTTGATAGTCTGCTTGTCCCTCTGATGCTAGGGTGGTATACAGTAGTGATGGCGAGATGAAGCTTCATAAAGCTTTGAAGCTTTCCATCCAATTGGTTCACTCGTGTGTTGAAGCTTCATGGTGCTTCATTTGCTCTGTTTTGCCCCCTGGTGGACAATAAATGTTAACGTACAGCGTGGTTATAACGAGACTCTGGCTTTGGTGTCTGAAGCATTGAGTGAATTAATCAATGATGTTTGTGATGCTGCCATCCAGGTTGACCCCGTCCCTCCCCATTGGCTCCAGTCCCCCCCCCCACGCCATTAGGGGATCGGCGGTTAGCATAATGGACGGATGGATGTTTGTGATGCTTATAAATGAATTCTAAACTTTTAGATGATGTCTGTCTTTATGATACAATGACAGGGAAGCTTGAATAGATTGCTCAAAAACTCGTCATTAAGTCCCAAGTCCACAAAATGTGAGGGGGGGATTCATTGCATTTTGCTGGCCCTTATTTTTTCTAATAGACCGCCAAACCGCGAACCACTTCCTGAATCAGTCACGTGGTACGGCCGGTTCGCGAGGCTCCAAACGTCACCGCATACGTCATCGACACAAGCTTCGATACGCGCTTCACAGAAATCATCCTGGATTTCTCCACACGCGCTTCGAAGCCTCGATACGAAGGGACACATCACTAGTATACAGGATGGTGGTGGTATTGGATTATGTTTTCAGGAGCTAAGTAACATCAGCAGGTGACATCTTATTGTAATTTCCTGCCAATTTGACCACCCATTAGCTCTTTTTTTGCCATATGCTTTGAAACCGTGTACAAGTATAGGCTTCCAGTGTTACTTGTACACTCTCGATGATGACAACACAAGAGGTCTTTCCTCAGTTCCTTTTAAGATACTCAGGCAATGCTCGGCGTTCCTAAGCAGTGCGGAATACGCGAGCCAAGCGTAGCCATACTTGACTTGTGACTTTATGAATTACACATTTAGGTACTATTGGTATTTCCATCGACTCACAGCAAGAAAGTACTGGGTTCGAGTCCCGGGGGACCCAGAACCTTTCTGTGTGGAGTTTGCATGTTCTTTTTGTGTCTGCGTGGGTTTTTTTGGCTTCCTCCCACAACCAAAAATCTGCATGTATGGGCAGCCAGCAGTTTTTTAAGATGCATTTCTCAGGCCCCTACAAGCCTGCTATTTACAGAAAACAAAGTTAACTGGATACCAGGAAAAAACAAGAATATTTTAGCCATAAATTACATTACAGCATGTGTTACAGGAGCAAACTCATTCCAAAAGGAAACATATGTAATCATAATGCAAATATTAAGGAAGAGCTTCATGGTCTTCATTTCGTTAAAAATCTTTTTTGGCAGCATGTACATACATGAAGATTTAAAAAAAACTGTCCTGTTTACCAAAAGCTAACAGTTTAACATTCTAATGAACCAAATCGGGCAATTGTCATTTATTTTCATTGGATAGCATATTTATTTCCAAGTTTTTTCCTCTCCATTTCAATATTTAAAAAAGCTGCATTCATATTAGCTATGAGCAAAGTACCATCATCCCATTTTTTCCACGAGCACTAGCAATTTAGAAAGAAATATATCTCAAAAGAACAATACAATTTTAAATGTAGCTGGAAGAAAAACAGATTAATTGCACTCTAAATCAAACAGGAAGATGACAAACTATTTAGACCAGGTTTGCAGAGCACCCAGGCAGCTGTGTTATATTTTTTGTTTGCATTAAATCAGTATATAATTAAATAATTGAAAACCATGAATGTTTTTGCTTATCATGAGAAGTAATTGTGCCTAGTTCTCATTTTACCGTCAACAACTGTATACAGTATGTAAAGTAATAATAATAGCAATAACATTTCATTTATAGGCACCTTTCTGGACACTCAAAGTCAGCATATATTGGTTAAAAACAACACAAATAATAAACAAAGTGATCATAAAACAAACTGAAAAATCAGGATAGAATGATATCATAGGGAAAATATGTTTGTGGAGTGAAGGTCAGAAGTAAAACTGGAGGAGCTTGAACCAAGATCTTGATGGATTTCTTTTACTGAAAATCGACATAGGAGGATTAAAAAAGGCAGCTGAGTACAAATGGGCAGTGGTGGGAAGTAACGAAGTACAAGTACTTCGTTACTGTACTTAAGTACAATTTCCGTGTATCTGTACTTT